TATTATTGGTAAGCAGAGACTAGCGTTTCAACATAAGACATGAAGTAGGGACTAGGAGAGGAGGTGCGATTAATAATAAAATCATCTTTGTTTTTGGAACCAGAGTGTCCCCAGATGAAACAATAGGAATTGGAAAAGATAACATAATTGTTTATTGTTGCAATGGGAGCGATTGTCCAACCTCTGACTTTTGACGGAATGCAAGAAACATTTATGGAATACATAATATCCCATGTCCTCTTGTTTATGTCTAGACCCCATAATTTGTAGAAAAGGTCGGATTGATAACAAACATGTCGCTTGAAGATGCATATGCGATGGTTAAGAACGCACATGCATATGCAATTGATGTATGTAAACTCGATAGCCGGAGTAATTGGAAAGGTTTGAAACGTCTCTGTGTGAAGATCAAAAGCTAGTACCTTGTGGTCTTGTTCAAAGTGGTTATTTTCCAAGTAGTAGCTGAAGGAATAGATTACTCCATCCAAGTGCATCATAGGATGGTCATAGTGAACTCGACCAACAGGGGGACCATCTACGTATCTCCAAGTGTTAGAGTCGAGAGCAAAAACCTTGCACCTAGTAGATTCATTATCCTTTTTGTTATCATCATTGAAATAACACACTAGCTTATACCTTGGACTCACACTATTCTCCCTTCCGATCCCTGCTACCAAAGAATGCCTCACATGCCCACTAACTACAACTGAACAAACATAAGATTTATAATATATAAGCTAATTATTGTAAAGTTTGAATGGGAATTTATATATAGAACGATCGAGTTAAGTACCTTCAGAGATGAGATCAGGGAGTATGCGGTGGCTAGTGGTGGCAGGATTAACAAGGTGAAAGACACGAGTATAGATGTTATAGAGACAAAACAAACCGTCGCAAGACGCAGAGATTTTGAAGCCATAGTAAGGAGGAAGATGCATAATGGGTGGATATAGAGAAGCATATTGTAGGATTCCATTGCTAGTCAACAACAGATTTTGTAGATTGATCTGTCCTTTTTTTTCTAATGGTATTTCAACGTAGCTCGCTTGTCCTCCTTGTAGAGATTTCTTATACCTCATGTGCTTCTCTTCGAAACACTTTGATTCCATGGCTCCTCTCCATTCTCTAGATACGGCTTTGAATCTCACCAGCGATTTTACCGGAAGCTTCAACATAATCTCTTCTACAATGTCAAGTGGAATATTATGTTTTACGCCTCTTCTTTTCTTCTCCTCCATTCCTACGACCTAATTAGCGTTTTTTTTGGTTGTTGGAGTAAGGAACGAAGAACTTAATTTGAGCTCAAAAGAAGAGAGAGATAAATTTACTACAAGGGAGTGGCTAAACTAGTTTTTTTTTTCTTATATATGTTTTTATGTATTTGATGCAATTAGGGATGTTAAAATGGGTAAACCCACCCAGGTCCGGCCCAAACTCCAATTAAACCCAGTGCAAATATTGCAAAAAAACTCTAAAATCTACTAAATATTGAAAAAAAGCCCTATTATTTAAAAAAATGACTGAAAAACCCAATGGAAAATTGCAAAAATTAATTGGACATAGTGCAAATGCACTTGTTGCACTATGTAAGAACCGGGTCTGGCCACCCTAATTAAAACCAACCCATTTATATTCATCTCTATTTAAGACATAAATCTATTTAGACCCATTTAGTTTTTGTATTTACTAGGGCTTCCCATTTAATCTCATTTATATTGTACTAACCCATTTAGACCCAATTAATATAATATATGTGATTTTAATAATATGTCTAATTATTATTTAGCATATACTATTTTGTGAATATTTTTTTCTTATAAAATTAAATTTTGATAATTTGTTTAAAAAAATATTTCAATTTC